CCCAGACATACAGAGTTTTCCCACGTTTGTGCTTTTTTCATACCTTCAAACCCACAGCTTCTTCTCTACCTGGTAAACTCCAGCTCATCCTTAAGACCCAATGTAAATTAAACTTCTTTTCTGAAGCAGTCTCTAAATTATCTCTATCAGAATTAGTTCCTTCCTAATTTGTTTTCCCATAGAATCTTCTACATGTGTATATACCATGCTTTTGTATTTTCTTTGTTCCAATGCAACCTCCATTGGGTTTTATTCAACTTTGATTACATTTTTTTTTACAGTAAAAGTATATACTAGCAGCTACTACCTGTTGAACATTTACTCTTTGCAATGGAATTTTTATTACTTTTAACCCTCACAGCAATTGTGTAAGTGAGGTGTTACTGTCTCCATTATCCAGATGAGGAAATTGAGTCTCAAAGAGAACATAACATTACACTCTGGCCTGGGTGCCAGAGTGAAACTCCTACTCAAAATAAAAAAGAGAGAAAAAGAAAAAAAAAACTACAACATGCCTAGGATCACACTGCCAGGAGCCAGAAAAACTGAGATACATATCTGCCAGGATACAAAAAGTCATGTCCTTTCCACTAAAGTGCGTATGGTTTATAAGGCAGAGGAAAAAGGATGCATATATTGTAATGTGTGTTAGTTGGTTTCAGCTGCTATGACAATACCATAGACCTGGTGGTTTATACAACAGATGTTTATTTTCTCACAATTCCAGAGGCCGGGAAGTACAGACACAGATGCCAGCCAATTCTGTTCTTGGTGAGGGTCTTATTTCTGGTTTGCAGATGGCTACCTTCTTGCTATGTCCTCACTGGGTGGTCTGGTCACTCTTCCTGTAAGGGCTCGAATTCCATCACTGGAGCCCCACTCTTGTGCCTTAATCTAAACCTGCTTACCTTCTAAAGACACCGCCTCCAAAAGCCCTCACATTGGGGTTAAGGCTTCACCGTGTGAATTTGAGGCGGATACATACCGGCAAAAGGTATGAGACCTGATTTCTAGTATCCTGTGATGTTGGAAAAGTCACTTAAAATTTGGGTCTGTTTCCTCATAAGGAAAACAAAAGGGTTGCACTGGATCCTCTCCAAAGTGCCTTCTCGCTCTAAAAATTTGATTACATATGCTACGTGCAACCGCGCGGTCCTAGAAACACCAGACCAAAGCATACCGTTTGGTGACAATCTGGAATCTGAACACAGGGCGTGTCAGGCACACCCCCAGCAGCTTGAGTTCCTGAACAAGTACAGCAGTTGTGCAGGCTGGAACAGAACTCCCCAGCTTGCCCTGACTGCATGCTTTATGAGATAGAATCCAACACATGAACTTCTACACTGCTTTGTCCTAGCACAAGCCAAGCCATCCACACCACTTACCTAGTAAGAAACACTGCCTGCACAGTCCCAGGTATTGCACTGCTCGATTTTTTAAAAACATTCAAAGCACAGTCTCCTGACTGGTCTCCTCCCTCCAGTGCATTCTGTAGGTTGCCAGATAAACTTCCCTGAAGCACAGCAGCTCTTATTGTGTCATTATATACGCTTTTTTGTTTGCTTGTTTCCTAGTGTTCCATTTCTTATACGACAAAATCAAACTTCCTCAGTCTGACTTCTTATAAGGTCTTCCGTGTTCTGGCTTCAACCAATTTTCCCAACCCCTTTCCCTCTACTACCTTTCGGAGACCTTGCATTCCAGGCAAAATAAATGACCTAAAATTATACCCTGAAAGGGTATAATGCCAAAATGGAATTGTTTAATGAAATAATCTTGAGCTAAAGCACAACCATTCTGATACTGCCTAATTCTGTCATTCTCTTAATATTACCTAGTTTGCCCTCTAATCAGGGACAGAAATGGATTCTCAGAGGTAGCTATTGATAATTGTTTTACAACCTCGCCCGAGTTGGTTAACCTAATCAACCCTTGACCTTCATGACACAGACCCCATCATGGCAGCAGTCATGTGACCCACCCATCTGCCTGCCATCCATCACCCGATTGTCAGTACCTGTGCTTACCTGCCCCTTCATGATGTGAAAAAGACTACCACTCAATCACCTTAACGACCTGCCCCCATCAAAGGGAAACTTTAAAAGCATTCAACCTTAAGCAGTCATTCATCATTGCTTTGCTGAACTCTGGTGTGGTAACATGGCTCTTTGAGTTTTGGCCGCCATATTTTCCTGGCTTTGCCGGCCTCCACCTTGTAGATGTGAATCTCTCCTCTCTCTCTAATTTACTTTCTTAAAAAACTATATTTCCAACCTAACTTCTGTGCAATTCTTTGCATCTTTCGCAAAGCACCAGATTGCAGACTCCCCGTCAGGTCTGACATCATAGTCCCGATAGCATTTTTTTTTTAAATCAGGGTCTCACTCTCTCACCCAGGCTGGAGTGCAGCGGCAGGATCATGGATCACGCTCACCACAGTTTCGGCCTGCTGAGCTCAGGCGATTCTTCTGCCTCAGTCTCCTAAATAACTGGGACTACTGACATGCACCACCGCGTCTGGCTAATTTTTTTATTTTATTGAAGAGCCGAGGTCTCGCCAGTTTACCTAAACTGGTCTCAAACTCCCAGGCTCAAGCAAACCTCCCACCTTGGCCTCCCAAATTTCTGGGGTTATAGGCATAAGCCACTACACCTGGCCAGTATATTGTTTATGTTACCAAAATTTCTAATACTATCATAAATCATTCTAAAATTTCAAATATGCTTTTCTAATAGTACCAAAACTAGACTTTGTTCGTGCAATAGGTTTGTTGTGTTAAATAAAAATTTTAAGGGGCGATTGTTTTGGACAAAACTCCTGCACTAAGGCCTCAACATTAAAAGTCAAAATGGAGTCACCCATCCTCACCAAACAGAAACTGAGCTACTATTTGGTCTTCTGAGAAATCAAGAGACCGAGGAAACAGCCTAATTTCCCAAACAGTTCTGGTTAATCTTCAGTCAGCATGATAATGAGATTCCCTCTGCTTTAATCCTTATAGCAGAGTAATCTGAAGTATCCTGATGTTAACTAAGTTTTCTATTGTAAGGTCTCACTGTCCCCACCTCACAAGGAAAGTCACTTTGAAATAACCAATCTGGCCGGGCTCGGTGGCTCAGCCTGTCATCCCAGAACATTGGGAGGCCTAGGTGAGTGGATTTTCTGAGCCCGTGGGTTCGAGACCCGCCCAGGCAACTTGGCAAGCCCTCGTCGCTACAATAAATACAAAATTAGCCGGGTGTGGTAGCACGCGCCTGTAGTTCCAGCTACTTGGAAGGCTGAGGCGGAGGTGTCACCAGAGCCCAGCAGGTCGACCCTGGGGTGGCCGTGAGTGTGCCACTGCACTCCAGCCTGGACGTCAGAGTGGGACTCCAACTCAAAAAAAGAAAAGAGATAACCAATCTGCTGGGCTTAGTGGCTCACGCCTGTCATCCCAACACTTTGGGAGGTGGAGGCGAGAGGATGGCCTGAACCTAGGGGTTCAAGACCAGCCTGGGCAACTTGGCGAGCCCTCGTCTCTACAATAAATCAAAAATTAACCAGTCATGGTGGCGCGCACCTGTAGTTCCAGCTACTTGGAAGGCTGAGGCGGAAGGGTCACCTAAGCCCAGCAGGTCGAGGCTGCGGTGGCCGTAAGCTTGCCACAGCACTCCAGTCGAGCGACAGAGTGCGATTCCTAACTCAAAAAAAAGAACTTCTCCTTAATCGACAGCCAGACCCGGGGTGTGGACTGGGATGGCTCAAGGGGAAACTGACGTTGGAAGAGTCAGGGCTGGGGAGGCTAGGAAACACTGCCCGCGGGGGCTTCCCAGGACAGCCCCTGCCGCTTGTCCTTCCAGCTGGAAGGCCGGGACTTCGCAGGAAGACGCCGGGCCCCAACCCTTCGGTCCCGGGGCCCCGACCCGCCCTCTGCGGCCGGAACCACACCGAGCTCGGACGCTGGGAAGAGAGCGGGCGGCGAGAGAAGTCGCGCCTCCAGACGCATAGACCCCACCCTCCGGGCCGCTGGTGACGTCATCACGCAGGGCCCAGGCTGCGCCGTCGCGTCCTTCAAAAGAGGCCTCCCGGGCGTTCGAGCGTGAGGGGCGGGGCGGGGCGTCGGCGGCGGCAGGGCCGGGGCGCCGGGACCCAGGTGGGCGGAGGGGCGGCGCGGGGGAGGGCGCGCTTGTAGGGGCTGGCGGGTGCGTGGCGGCTGGCGGGCCGCGCTTCCTCCTCTCTCGCCTCCCCCTGCTCCACGCGGGTTCGAGGCGTGAGAGGCGGACCCGGGAG